GGCACGGCTGGGGCACGGGGGAGACGGAATGTCAGAGAGTGGGTGGGGGTGCGGGCAGGCACCCCCAGGAACATGGCAGCCAAGTCAAGAGAAGGTTGGCCGCGGCACACGCCCCGGGCCCGAACCCCGTGGCCACAGCCAGGGAAGGGGCTCGGCAGGAGGAAGGGCCGCAGCCCCCCTACTGTACCCCCCACACCCCTGCCGGCCCAGGAGCAGGGCTCCCTCCCCTGGCAACACGGCCCACACTGACCACGCCTGCCCCACCCCGAGACCGGCCTTCTCTGGGCTCCCTGAGCACCCGTCTGTCCCGGGTACACTGTCGGCGCTTCACCACACTCACCACCCTGTGGGGGCTCCCGCCTCACTTCTCCGCTCGCCTCCTGACGGGAGGAGAGCGCCGTGAGCAGAGCGGGCACCCGGCCCAGGACAGGGCGCCCAGTTTTCTCTACTAGTCCCGTCACGGGTCCTGGCCTGGGCTGAGCAGGAGCGGCCTGTGTGCACACGGCCGAGCAGGGCCCTCACCAGACACGTGAGGGCCTGGGGCGTGGCCGTGACATGGAGGAGGCACCCACCTCACGTGGGGGCTCCCTCACAGCAGATGCTCCCTGGATGGACCGAACGCCGTGCCCCCCAAATCCCTATGTTGAAACCCTCATCCCAACGGGCTGGCGCACGGAGGTGGGCCTCTGGGAGGTGCTTAGGGTTGGACAAAGTCACGAGGGCAGGGCCCCCCGACAGGACTGGCGCCCTCAGAGGGAGGACTGTCCCGCCACACGAGGACATGCTGAGGAAGCAGCTGCCTGCAACGTGGACAGGGCGCCGGCACCCTCACCTCAGACGGCCAGCCTCCGGAACAGAGAGAGAGAGGCAGAGCCTGCCGCGTCAGTGGCCCGAGGGCCGGGGCCGGGCCCCGCTGCCTCTAGGGAGATCCTGGGCGTCCGGGGGGGTGGGGGGGGGGCCGGGCATGAGGGGGAAGCACACGGGACCCCACAGCCCCCCCCCCCCGGGGGGGGTGCTGCCCAGTCCATCCTCAGGCTGAATTCCTCTTTAATGAGACATCACTTTGGAGACACATTTCAGAGCCTTCAAAATCGCAGCCCGAGCCTCGTCAAACCAGCCAGAGATTACTCAAGATTTACTGCACAGGCGCTAAAATAAAATAAAATAAAGTAAGGCGGGCCTGCGCGAGGCAGCCCCTGTGACAGCGCCATTTGTAGTCGGGACGGAGCGGCCTCCAGACTCATCTGCTTGAGCTCAGCGGCTTCTGTTTACCCCGCACTTTCACGTCAAATGAGTTTGGAAGGAGTGAAAAGTGACAGGCGGTTTAGGGATATAAGTCACGTTTCAGCTGCAGTTCAGATTAATGAACTTGCTGGAAGCCGCCGAGGGCACAGGCAAATCCACAAACCTGAGAACAAACACGTTAAACCCTCGCTCGGCGGGAGCCTCCGCCGCCCCCCAAGACACCCCACACCCAGGGCCGGGCCGGTCTGGGCAGCAGCGGCGTGTGGTCCTCGGGGCCTAGCCGTACATCCTGCGGGTCCCGCAGCGATCCCACCCGCAGCCCCTGGGGCCACCAGCCACTGCCAGGAGGGGCGTGCTGTCCCCCCACCCCATAGTCCCAGGCAGTCGGGAAGCACGGCCCCATCTGCCTGGAGCAAGAGTGGCAGCGGCCCTGCTGCCCCCACGCTCGCTCTGACGCCAGGCCCCTTGTGGCACAGGACCGAGTGTGGCAACCCCTCACCACAACGAGGGGTGTCATCCCTCAGGACAGGGAGGGCACGGACCTGCCACGACCACTGGCCATCTATCTAGCTGATAAGCCAGGTTCCGCCCCGGCCCTGCTCAGGACACCTGGCCACTCCGTGAGGCAGCCCCAGGGGCCTCTGGGAGCTCCGCCCCCCGGCCTTCCCGCTCGCTCAGGGTCACACGGCGTTGTGTTCCCCAGCGGCGCTCCCCAGGCTCCCCCGCGATGGCAGCATTTCCACACACACATATACACAGCTTTCTCTCCACAGCGGGTGTCTGCAGGAGGGTGGGACCCAGGGCCACCCATGCCAACACTGGCACTCTCAGCCACCGGGTCACCTGACTTACTTCCCGCCTGTGTCTCCCAGTCCCCAACACTGCCGACTGAGACTTCCAGGACTGTTGGGGCCTGCCTGCCACACCCCCCGGGGGTGTTCCCCTCTGAGGTGCGTCCGGATCAGGAGGGCCAAGGAGAGCTCACGGGCCTTGGGCTGAGGCTGGCCACCCGGCAGGAAGCCCTGCTTTCTCACCCCTGCGCCCTCAGACCACACCGGCCTGGGCCCAGCCACCGGCTCAACCCCTCCTCATGCCCAGGGAAAAGCTGAAGAGCCTGCAGATGCACAGGGTGGAGGTCAAGGCCACAGGCCAGGCCAGTCGGCCAGAGCCTCCCTGGACCCACTGGCCGCACACAGGCAGCCCCCAGCTCGATGGAGCTGAAAGTAGCAGCTGAGTGGGCAGCAGACTGGCCGCCGGCCCTGGAGACAGGCCCTTTCCGCTGCCTCGACAAGGCAAGCCCAGGCGGGCGCAGCCGACAGGCCGGGAAGCTGGTGGGCGGCCACTCTGCTGAGAAGGAAGCCCACCCCCCACCGGGGTCCGGCTGACCTTGGGCAAAGGAAGCCCAGTCCGCCGGCAGCCACGTTTCCTAGGACCTGAGCCGCTCAGCCCTCGGCCTCCACCACACCCTACTCTGCAGGCCCACGAAGCCCGGGGGCCTGGCCCCCAAGAACCTAGGACTCTGTGCTCAGGGTGTGTCCCGGAGCCCTGGCAATGGGTGACACAGACCTGGAGTAAGGCGGTCAGGTGGAGGGAGACCCCACTAAGCAAAGCCTCCACACGTGGCCTCAGGTTACGCGTACCCGTCCTGGGGGGTAGGGCCCAGCCACGCCTGCACGCACAGGGAACGCTGGAAGCCTCGAGCACCCGCGAAGCTGACCCGAGCCCGCAGCCATCGCGCACGAGTCAGGGCCACAGGGCCTGAGCCATCTGACACCAGCACGGCCTGGGACAGGGCGGCACAGAGCCAACCAGAGCGGCGTCCTCACCACACCTACCCGACCCACCCATAGCCGGGCCCCTGTGCCGGGGCACCCACACGGCCATGGCCCTCCCTGCAAGGCAGCCGGCCCAGGGGGAGCTGTGGCCAAGCAGGGTGGGCAGCTGGGTCCGGGCCTGTCCGTTCTGAGCCGGGCCTACGGCACCACAGCACGAGGCCCGCCTCCCCTGACGGCCCATCCCACCTACCTGAGCCGGGAGGTCAGACCTCGCAGACCTGCCCACACAGCATAGGGACAAGCGCCCTCTCCATCCCCACCTGCTCAACTCCCACACTGAGGCGCAGGCAAGTATTCTCTGTCCTGCTGCCGACTGGGCTGCTCCCCACCTAATGGACTTGACGTTCTGCCCGGTTATGAGGCGGCTACAGCCCAGGGGGGGTGCACCCAGCCACCCCCCCAGTAGGCCTCGCCCCACAGGGCCTGCCACCCCTTTCTGTTCAGTGACCCCCCACAGGGCCGCCCCAGCCCCCAGCCATGCCCCCTGGGGGAGGCGGGACCGGAATTCGGACTGCGGGAGGGGAGGCAGGAGCAAGATCAATAAATCTGAACCTCATTCACGATGATCTGGGGCTCTTATTAAGTAAATTAATTTAAGTTAATTTAGCTCGATCATGACTCCCGATCACAGTGATTTAGTGAGGGGGAAATTGCATTAGGAAAGGCCATGCTCACTAGATAGGAGAACGGAAGAAAATTAGACCCACTTAGCACTGTGAATTAATATGGAAATAGCAGGTGTAAATTTAACCTTATCGAGAGAGTGAAAATTATCTTCATAAATTTGTAGAAATAGCCCCCAAGATACTTATAAATCTATTTAAAACAAAAATATTACAAAAAGTGCAGTAAAATTAATTTAAAATATACTTGCAGCTATTGCCTCCAGAAAAACCAGCAGCAGGGCCAAGTTCAGTGCAGCCTCGCGGTAACGGAGGAGGGAGTGGGTGCCGCGGCCTGGGTGGGCCGATCGCCCTGCCACAGGCCAGCGGGCCAGCACCTCCTCTCACAGCCCCAGAGCCAGGGAGCCACTGGCCAGCAGGTGGTGGGGCTCCTGGTGGGCTAGCAGGACGGCCCCTGCCCAGTATTCTGTGTAGTCCAGTCCCGTGGGGCACAACGGTCCCTTGTCCAGAGTGCCCACCAGGCCAGAGTGCCCACCGCACCCGGGTGGAGGCCAACGCTGGATGAGGGAGCTCCCACTCTGCTCCCCTAGGAAGAGGCTCCCAGAGGGCGCCCCGTTCCCACTCACCCACCAGAGCTGCCGCCCCACCCCCCACCTCAGCAAAGGAAGGGGCCATGCCCCCCACGACGGGCCTCCTGAGGCCCCAGGGCTGAGCAGGCTCACAACAGGGGCCCCCGACTTCTATCCCCTAAAGCTGCTGCCCCAACAGAGCCCTCCCACTTCTGGGCCAGGGCACCCAGAAAATAAGTGGAACCGTCCCCACTCTGTACGCCCTCAGCCAGGAGCGGCCCAGAGCAAGGCTGCAGCACTGGGGGGTGGGGTGCAGGCAGCACCCATTGGGGGGGACATGGAGAGGGCCGTAGCCCTGTGTGCCGAAGGAAAGATGGGCCACAGCTCCCAGAGGGCGGCTCAGGCCCTACCTCTAACCAGAAGTTTCTCCATGAAGTGGAACAATGCCCGGTGTGGCCTCAACTGTCCAGATGGTGGCTTCCCCCACGGACGTCCCCTGCCAGCTAACAGCCTACAGGCAGCGGTGGAGGGCATGCGTGTCTGTGCACGCGTGCGTCCGTGAGTGCACGCGGCATGTGCAGGCTGGCCGTAGGTCTGCTGCAGAAACTGCTACACAGAAAAATTAGCCTCTTCCACGGCCGGCAAACTGTAGACCAAGCGCTTCTGTGTGGCCAGCTCGGTCCCCTACAGGCCCCAGGCCCAAGGCAGCCCGGATGAGGGCGTCCTACCTGGACAGCGAGAGCCGCCGTGACCGCCAAGAGGGCAGGGACAGGGGAGACTGGGGGGCGCTGAGAGGAGACACGGGCGTCTTCTTGACAATGCGGTAGCGGGTCTTGATCACTTTGCCGGTGGGAGGCGTCCGCAGGGTGTGCACGCTGGACGCTGCAGAGGAAACGCACACAGAGGGGGTCAGTGGAGGTCGGCAGGGGGCCTCTCGACTCACTCCAGCCCTGCCCCACACAGCCCCAGAGCACTCAGGGGCCCGAGGCTCCAGAGAGCTGGGCCCAGGCCTGGAGTCCTGAGACACAGGGCACTGGGGATGCCGAGTGACACGTGGGCAGGGGGGGCGGCAGAAGCGCCCCGGGGCCAGCTGACTGGTGCGGCACCATGGGCTGGTGCCCCTCAGCAGGCAGTCCCCAGACTCAGGACCCCCACTCTGGCCCCAACTCCCCAGAGCCTCCAGGAGTAGCGAGGAGGGGGCCGCAGGAGGGCGCAGGAGGCCGGGGTGCAGACTGCTCGCCTCCCTCTCCGGGCACCCCCAGCACATGCTCACGCAGATTTATGTATTTAATCACCAATGTTTTCATAACATCTTGCGGGGGATGTACGTACACCACAGCTTCTCTTTTGCTGAATGGTTCATGCAATTAACAGGGATCTGTTTTGCCCGAGTTCCCCTCCACTTGATAGCCGGCAATTTCTCCACAGCTTCGAGGAACGTACCTAATTGCCCGGCTCGCATAATATACAGCTCTAACTGCCCAGATAATTAAAGCGAACGCAGCGCGGGACGGGGGCGCCGAAGCCTCTCGTGACCCAGCCCATGGCCGGCAGCCTCTCCGGAAGCTCCCCTCTCGGACCGGCACTGGGACCCAGGCTCCCTGCGGGCTCCTCCTCGTCCCATCCAACCTGCCCACACAGCACCCCAGCATGGGTAGCTTCCTGGGGCTCCCACTCACAGAGACACTATGCCGGGTCAGGCTGTCGGGCAGTGGCGGGAGCGGGCGGGGGGGGGGGGGG